ACCTTTAACGCATGAAGGACAATTATTATGTAATGTTCCAAAGGAACACTTTTAGAATAAATTAAAATAAGGCTGACCAGCTCCAGCTTTGTCATCTTTTATATGTGTTTTTTTTTTCACGAATTCTTACAATCTAATAGTTTTTGTTTTTTTATAGATGTGAAACAAGAAGTGTGGCCAAGGAGAGGTACAAAGAAACATACACGTTGATAGGTCGCTACCTATGTGGCAACATTTTAAGGACTTAGATCTACAACACTTTATCCTTAGATTTTGCAAGGTTTATAAAAGCTAACGTGAGAGAAAACGTCTTCGAGAGAAAAAATATTCAGTTTGAAAGCCAATCGTTCTGGATAAATATTCCCACAAAATTATTTGTGTCTTTAGTTTGTTTGGAAAGAAATTACCTCTGCTTCAAGAATAAAATTCTCTCAGCTAATCTGTGTTACAGCTTATAAATAACTATTACTAATAAAAAAAAAGATTCGAACAGATATAATCGAAATAAACACGCCACATTAAAACAATGTTATAAAAGCATATAACTACAAACATCCATTTTATCACCATTGCATGACGCTATGAATTACTTAGGTTAATAATTAGCACCCTTGCTTGGTTATTATTTAGTTTCAGCTGCTCATTTACTAAATCTTAAGAAATATTTAACCTGACATGATGGTGTGGACTTTCGTAGACGTAGTTTACATTCAATTAACCAAAATGGCCCGGCATGCCCAGGTCGTTAGGGCACTCGACTCGCAAGCTGTGGGTCGCGGGTTCGAATCCCCGTCACACCAAACACGCTCGCCCTTTCAGCTGTGGGGGCGTTATAATGTGACGGTCAATCCCACTATTCGTTGGTAAAAGAGTAGCCCAAGAGTTGGCGGTGAGTGGTGATGACTAGCTGCCTTCCCTCTAGTCTTACACTGCTAAATTAGGGACAGCTAGCGCAGATAGCTCTCGTGTAGCTTTGCGCGAAATTCAAAACAAACAAACAATTAACCAAAATATAGAATACACCAATAAAACAAGTAAAACGTTTTGATATATTGATTTGATACTTAGTTTCTGCCATTTCCCCTGAGGAAATGAAAACGATATTTAGTAATTTAATATTGTACTTTGTGTATTGCAAAGCAATACAATGTAGTTAGTCTCTTAATTTATACCTTTTAATTCCACACATTTGCCCGGGAGCTACAATCTGAATAATTATATTCAAATAGACTACAGAGAAAGAATAAATAGTTTTATGTTTTCTAAACATACATTAAGGAAAACTCATTATTTAATATCTGTAGTGCATGTTGGTGTATAGAAGACATATTAATACTAGAAATATACAACCTTATAACACCAAAATGTTGTTTTTATTTAAGTAGACATTGAACGTTTTCCTTTACAGCTTCTTCGGGAGCGTTTACTAATACACAAACCGAAACTGACAGTTTGTGTATTTGTATGTTTGGTTTGTGTATTAGCGAACGCCCCTGAAGAAACTATAAACCGAAACGTTGAGTGTCTAATAAAAAAAACAACAACAACATTTTGGTGTTATAAGGTCGTTTATTTCTAGTATTACGGAAACTCGTGCTTCGCGTAAGAAACACATTTTGTTGGTTGTGGTATTTTGTATTTGAATGTACAAAGTTTATAAATTGTAAAAGTAGTGCTATATATGTAAAGTAAGTTAAACATTTAAGTGACCTGCCTAGACTACTAAAGTATGAGGTTAGGTACGTAGGGTTCTGAACGAATCTAGTGGCCATGCGGGACGTCTCAATGACTGCGAGGTTAAACCTGCTACACAGCACGGGATAGCCACCAAACACCTCTAATACAAAAGACAATTTCAGCTGAATGGTGTGATCAAAAATGGCAAACCAATCGACATATCCACTATGAGACACCAGATTTAGCCACGCTTTCAAAATCTGGATATCTGTGGCAAGTATTAAAACTCAACAAGGTGACAGTACTGGTATTATAAGTGTATATAAACAAATGAACAAATTCACACAAAAAAACTTAACACATAAACACTGCTGTTTGAGATGAGGCTCTGAGGGATGTTAGATCCATTCCCCAAATACACTTCCATTTGCAATGAATACATAGTACTATCTACACCCACCCTTCCCCTTACGCATATTTTGACGCTGTCGCCAGTACTTCCTTACTCATTTCATTTTTGCATAGTTTAGTGAAATTTAAAAAGTTTCCCACGTACGTAGACACGCTACTCTTTTAATTATTTGTGAAAGTTTTATTTCTTCTCATAATAATATAATTCTAGATGTTTTATTTGTTTAATACATGAAATGTTTTTATAAGTTAGTCCCATCAACACTTATTTTATATGCTTGAAAAATTTATTACGTTTTTTATTACTTTCTAATACATTTTATTTTTCAATGTTTTAAGTAATTTCAATTAACCTTAGTCTTGAATTTTGTGTTTCCCTGCGGTGTAATTTGTTCATAGATATTTTATTCTCTCCAAATGTAATTCATTTTTACATGTTTCATTCTGCCTCAATGCATCTCATTTTTTTTAATAATTCTCTGTCTGATTAATTTCTGTTTATGGGATGTTTTATTCCTTCTAAGTATACCTTATTATTGCATATTTTGTTTTTTATAATATTTACTGAGCGTTCATGGCTTATTTCCATTATATTGTATACATTATGTTTCATTCTTTGATGATTCTTGAGTACTTACAAACCAAACGCTTTTATTATTTCATTTTATCCATATCTAGAAAGCGCACCAATGATGACTTGGAATGGAATGCACCCGAAGGAATTTGTGTAATAAATATATATCCATAAAGTTAGGATAAGGATAAATTTTCCGATACAAAGATATAAAAAATTCGTTACTGAAATATTAATCTTAGATGAAAAGTTTCTAATATGATCTTTGTCTATGTTTGTTTGTTTAATTAAGCACAAAGCTACACAATGGGCTATCTCTGCTCACCACGGGTATCGAAATCCAGATTCTAGCGTTGTAAGTCCGCAGACATACCGCTGTGCCACTGGGGAGGGGCCTTTGTTTCTGAAGGTAGGACTGTCGACTTTCTTAAAGCATAAATATATTGTATCGTTTTATAAACGTATTTATAGCTAAAGGCACCTATTACATCACAGAAATGTTAACCAGTAAAGAGTATAATTGAATAATATAGTATAGATTGTTATAGATAAGTATAGTAGTGAATGGTATAGAATAGAACATTGAAGAATATTATTGTTTCAAGAGAATCGATATAAAAATATTTTATTGTTTCCAACAATTTAATATAATTCTGAATTATGACTATACAGTATATAACATCTTTATGCTTGTTTCTGTGATGATACATTACAACAAGGCTGATGATAATTTCTTACAAATCTTTTTATTTAGTGGTTCTATGCTACGAATTTCTAGCAAGACGAGCATAACAGCGTTTCGACCGCATACCTTGTGCGTCGCATGACATTGTTTGACGACATAATGACTAATATAAGTAGCGTTTTGAACAACGATTTGTGTGTTGCATTATAGCCAATCTGACGAGCTCTGGTATTAGACGAAAGGCTTTGTCGGCAGAGGTGAGCGGTGCCCAAGGCTATTGAAATGCTGTAATGTTATTCTTACTGGAAACTCATAGCATAGGGCTATAAAGAAATCATCTGTAAAAAAGTTATCAATTTTATTGTGATGTTACACGAACTAGCAATCTAAATGATGATTTTTTCAGCCGCGGCTGAGCGGCTCATAGAACGGCTCTGAGTTTTTTTTTTGTTTGTTTTTTCAAGTACAAACGTTTAACTCAGTGCTCCGTCATCTCTTGACCGATATGAACTCTAATTACAGTTTTAGACTCAGGTGGTTAAACCCTTTCGATTGATGTATTTGACCACGCCCAAATCTTCATAGATTAATTTACTCTAATTCTGCCTAAAATAATTTCAATTTGAGGGTAGACTGACAGAGATTCTGATGAGTAATAAGATCGAATCGGGTATACACGCACCCCACGCTTGGTATTGTTGGCGCACCAAAATATAGCTAATAAGAAGGGAAACAAAGGTCTCATAGATTAATTTACTCTAATCCTGCCTAAAAGAATTTCAAGTGCATCGGCTGTTGAGGATTCCCTCTTGCTTGTCTCTTAGAAACAATACTTAATTTTTGTCTGGTCTAAAAATATTGAATTTAAAGCATCGTTTGAAAATAATTGTAAATGTTGTTTGAATTCTAATTTGTTTATAATAATTATCATTATCTTAACATTTTAATTTAATCGTGTCAATTCATAATTTTTTTACTTTAAAATATAAAGGTTTTATTAAACGGTGCTGGTTGTGTAAGTTATTCAGGAGTTAATTATGTACTCCGATATAAACTTTATTTATATCTATGAAATATAAAGGGAATACCTGTTCTTTATTTTCTGTCAGTTGGTCAAATTGTGAAGAAATTCCACGTTGATATCTATCTAAAATATTAAAAACGACAAAGTAGGTACAAAGATTACCGACAGATGGCAAGACCTGTATGGAGTTTGACATTTAAAAAGTTGAAAAAAAGGGAAAGATTCTACATTCATTATTTTCTATTATTAAAGTGTATGGTACGTCATATCTAAACAATTGAAAGCGAAATATCACACCGTTTGTCAAAGTAAAGATAAATCCTTAAAAGCGTAATTCTCACACGAGTAATAAACAAAAGTTCACGTAGAAGTGTAGGCGTTAATAAAAGCTTATTATATGAAAATATTCTTTGAAGTGTGACAAACATAAATGTCACTGGTATGTCTACCACAAACCTTCTAGCTAAAATCCCCCGATATGCTCTATAGTAGTAAACCGATCGAATGCCCGATATGGTCTGTGATTGTTAGAAAATGAGTACATTGTTTGCAGTTCCCTCAGGGCGGAAACTTGTGCAGTGCCCTTGAAGTCAATCAAGTTTCAACTGAATAAAACGGAAAGTCTTCTCAGGGGAGTGCGTACAGGCAGTTTATCAAAACAAAGGGAGTTGGAGCATCATGAGGTTGAGGCTGGAGAAGACTTGGTTGTAGTTTGATAAATCATGGGCGGTCTGTTGGTAAGTTTATTATTCATGTAATGCAGTTTTGGAGATCTTTCGTAATACTCTGTAAAAAACATGGGCTTAAAGTAAGTAAGTAATATTATTAATACTGAGTAAGTAATATTAAATAAAGTATCGAGTTGTGTAATGGCATTAACCGTTGTTAGTGCTATAACAACGTGTTATATCGAAAAGTATCTTACTAATACCCGAAATTTCTGGACGACTGAAATTAGGATGTGTCTTAAGATTGATTACACCACTGGAAAATTGTAATGTAATAGTGATGATTGAAAAGAGTTTACTACACTAAAAGTCTGAAAGACTTTATCACGTAAACCCTTCGAAGAAATATTTGCGATAATCCCAATCTAAAAAACAAATAGCTTTGGTGGTGATTGTTCATCCCAATCTTAAACTTTAAAAAAATTCTTTGATAGCGACCGTAAAGTTTTTTTTTCAACGAGAGCATTAATACTGGAAAATCTATTTTATTTTCTTTGTTTTCTTGTTAAGGTCTTAAACTAGTAACTATTTTTATATTTTTACCTAGAATCAGTACTGCTAAAGAGTCGTCAACGTGTGTTTTGAAAAAAAAAAATTAGTTGGCACATTTGAACATCACTTGTTCCAAATTTTTGCGTAAAGCTACACAGTAAACCGTCTCTAATATTGAACTGACAGTGATAGACTATAGGGAGCGCAGCTACAGCAGCGTCCATCTACAACTCTTTTTGCTATTTCTTTCTGATTGAATAGCGAGATTTGACCTTCAGTATTATAGCGCACCCACAGCTCCAAAGTGCAGAGTGCGTTTTTTGCAGCAACAGGCCCCAAACCTTAAACCTTCTGATCCGCAATCCAAGCAAGATGATCCCTAGACCAGGTCCGGCATTATTTAAACAAACCCGATAATGATAGCATTGTTCGATAAGCATTTATTTATTTCTAATTATTATTTGAAATCAGTTGAAGTGATGTTACAAAAACCGTATTTTGGGGAAGTGGGTGTGTTACAAGAGTGACAGTAAAAATCCACTATTCTATCAGAGTAGCCCACGAGTTGACTATAGTTGCCTTCGCTTTAGTTTATCACTTCAAAATTAGGGACGACTAGCGCAGATAGCCCTCTAGTCAATTTGCCTGAAATTCAACAAAACAACAATCGATTTAAACAAATCAAAACGAAAACAACATACTTATAGCATTTTATGTTTTAATATTGAAACCTAAGATTTCTAGTTTCACGTAAAATATATTTACAGCAGTTGGCATATGGTGAGCAAACTACTTCCGAGAATATGCGGTGTTTAATGTGTGCATTTAAAACTTAGATTGAATATGAACTGAAATCTGTATATGGCCTTAAGTCTTGACCTTTTAACCCCAAGTAAAATATTAAAACTTCTTAAGGCCATATACAGGTTTCAGTTCACATTCAATTTTCTTGACCTTTTAAACCCCGAGTAAAATATATTTTCATGCGTTGAATGTTTCTTGGTTTGGAAACTATAACACAAACTATTGTCAGAACACGGGTCTTTGACCCTTCTATTTACAGAAGGTGCGAAGGACAAAGCACGTCCTTTATTTTGAACTCCCACCCAATGGCTAGCAATGGTATAGAAACATTCGTTTCACCTTCACATTATGGCATATATTTCCAGCACCTAATCAAATTAAATTATTGCGTCACCCTGAATAATGCTACTTTTCCTAGTCTTGTTCTTTTAATTAAAACGCAAATTTATTTGCCTAATTAATTACAAATGTGGTTGTTCAATAAGTTTGAATACGTTAAAATAAATATATTTCCATAAAAATAAAATATCACTACCTTACGTAAGTATTGATATTCTTATAATTAAGATAATTGGACTGATAACTATTCAATGTTTTCTAAATTAAGTAAAAAATATTAGAAATTAAAACTGATCTGTTTAGTTGAGATGTTACGGAGAAGACAATGTTTCGATCCTGCGAGAAATATTCTTGGAAAGTTTTGTGAACTTTTCTCTTTATAGAGTTATACGTCGTCTTCAAAAATTTCAGCAGTGACTTCTGGTCACGTGATAAAACTCTTACTTAGGTGTATAACCTTGGAAATTCAGGTTTTTCTGGATTATTCCCAGAGGTGATATATTGCTAGTATTGTGGCTCCCTCTTTCGTGTTTTCAAAATGTTATGTTTATTTGACAATACTATTTCAGGATCATTTTACTCGTATGTTTACTTCTATTGTTGCGTATTTTTTAACACCGAAAAGAAAGAATTTCAAAACTATTAAATGCATTTGTGAAGCTATACGTCCAGGCATAAATATCTTAATATCGATATCTTATTATAAATACAAATACTATGCAAGTGAACGCCCCGAAGGAAACGCACAGTCTTCGTCGATCAAGATCGTTGACGGGAATACAAGTGTTAAGATACATGTTTTTCCACTTTGTGCAAGGACATGATTAAAAACAAAAACATGTTTACCTTTCTTGGAAATAAGGAAGGAAAATACTCAAAGGTTACTGACGCGTCAGATTTATCGACAAAAGTTTTAATCTGTCACGTACCATCAAGCTTTTTGAAAGTTTGAATAAGCTTTTCCCATCATTATTAGAGAACGTGACTTATGTTAACGTGCTTACCTCATTAGCCTCTTATTCCGTCACATTACATAAACTCTGAAGTATAGTATCTAGGTAAGTGTATTTATTACACGTGTCTTTGATCCCTGATCGCAAGACGTACATTTTATCGCAGAAAACTACTTGAGAAAACATTTCGGTATTGTAAAGATTAGGCTAAATACGGATGAAACTATTCACTCATGGACTATTATTGATTTCTCCTGCCATAAATGTGGAAGAAGAGTCCAGTGTTAACATGTCAATTAGTTTACACTTGAAAACAGACTTTGGCGGAGTATAAGCGTGATTAGAACGATACAGTTACATATATTTTTATGCTTAGTAATTCTCTGCACTTATCTTTTGAAGAATAAGCTGGAACAAGATACGTTTTAATACAGTAACAACTCCGAATATATCAGTGTTTCAGCAGTTAGCTTGAGTTTTTGTAATGGTAATGTGTTAACTTTATGTTGCAATATATGATTTTGTTGATTACCCACAGCTGTAAGTATCTTAGTTTGAATAGGGTCCCGCAACATTATTTTTGTTCCGTTACTTTACCATTTTCACGATTTTGCTGTTTTTATTAGACTACGACTCTCCATTAGTGCCACAGCGTAAGCATTCTCTAAATCAAGTGATATCTTTAGGTAATTAAATCGCAAGCTACAAAACCCTTGAAGACGGAACGGATGGTTGATTTAGAGTTGCGTAAAAGCGATGATAAAATGGAATAATTTTTCTGTCGTTATGATTAAATAAATAAAACATACACTAGTTTAGTTATTCTTTTGAAAGGGGATGTATCAAGATGGTACAGCTATCTTGTAAAACGGTAATTAAAGTAATTTCTTGTTTCATGAGGGGGAAAATAATAATGAGGACAAAGAAAGTGGTTAGTGGTCGTAGGTGAAACTGCTACTAATTTAACGCATATATGAATACAGATTGAATAGTGATATTAAAAAGAATTTTAATATTCAAATTAGCAGGTCACGTGGCAACCATAACCGACATAAAATCGCGGAACAACATATATCAGAACTACATTTTGATATTATCTGGTGTTACTTAAGTATAGTGATGCCACCGAACATTGATAGCTTTTGGGAAGGGTATAATAACCCTCTCTCTTATAGTTAATGATAATGGCCAATAAATAAATATGGATCATCTTGGGATACCAGGACCATCCAGAAAGAGACCTGTAGTAAAGTCGTACCACAACCCTGTTATGAAAAGTACTGCGACTTGTAACAGATGGAGACCCAGAACACAATAGTCAAAACAGGCAAAAACCGACCTAGTGCCCCAGGCAACAATGCGCAACATAACTAACAAGAATCTCCCTCTGGAAAAGTGATCCAAGTCAGATGTGCACAAGCTGCTTCCACGATACCACAGTTCAACCTTCGCATCTCAGAAACAGCTGGAGAAATAAACGGGTATTCATGCTATTCTATATGAAGACTTACCAGTCACGTCGCCTGTTAATTTTTTTTTGTAATCGGACTTTGAAACGAGAGCTGGGATACCGTCGTCCTCGTATACACTATGGATTATGCAAAGCAGCAGCTAGGAGGAATGTGCTTTGAATATGACAGCCTTACGAGAGACTTTTGCAATGAAATCTACGCTGAAACGCTATTCTCAAGATGCACGGTCATCAGATAGAGCATGATCGGGGTTGAGGACATAGACTGTGATGACGTGGTGAGGCTTCAAAATTGTTTTAATCTAAGGTCTTCAACATTTATATACTTTTATTTAGCTATATTTAAATAATGTTTCTAAATTTTCGTATTGGTATTTTGGATGATGTTATGACATTTTCGTGGCCTACGTCTGTATATACTCACTGGTGTTGAAGCCCATCTCAAGGGGTAACACAGATAACTGTATAAATCAGTTGGTAATAAATATATATCCTTTAGTGAACAAAAACTTTGTTTATTTGTTCACTTTATTCCTTTATTTTCTTTTTATGCTTGTATTAGATTTATTATCCGTATAAAATTTCCGGAACTTGTATTTTGTCGATACTTTTAAGTTTATCTTTTGAAAATCGGTGTACCTGAAAACAACATTAAGAGGAAAATATTTTTATTTATTGTTGTTGAGTTTTCGTTATGCATTTATCGAATCATTACTACAAATTTAAAACGATATTTTAGAAATTAAGTTTGGGAAACAATCGGGAAATGAACAAATAAAAGATTAAAAACACACACAAACACATATCCAGTGCCGGATTAAAACCACAGTGGGGGCCTATAGGCATCAGTTTTATGCCTACCCCCTTCCTCGTTAGGGGCAGATGTTACGTAGTGTACATAATTTAAATTAGAAACAAAATCTGATCTACTATAGGTATTGTAACAACGTCTCTTGTAAATGGAGATTGTTTTAATTTGTAACACGTTGCGTCAAGTCCCTTCCACTCACCAAATTCAGTCGAAGTTAGAGAATTCAGATTTATTCTTGAAATATTTGCTTTCGAATTCCCTGTTTGTTTGCAGAACTTACCCGGTTATTCTTAGATAAATCAGTATACCTGAGAATATCACAAAAGTTCTAGTCACCTGTGTGATGTTGTGATAATCTTAACACATACTTCCAGGAAGTGATCATTTTGCGGTGTTGGCTACTATTTGAAATAATTTAGGCTTCTGTTTGGAGAAGACAATATTTAGTTTTTGCATCACTAAAAGTATCCAAGTGTCTTAAGCAACATTGAAACAAGATATATCAGATTTATTAGCACGAAAAAGTGTAAGATAGGATAACACGTATCTGTAACTTTTAATTGCATTTTATTGACAAGATAGCTTTGTTGTAGAGCTCTAGATTTTAAATCCGTGCCATATCATTAAGCTATGGGTGCATCATAAAAGTGGCAGTTAATCCCTTGATGTGGGTGGTAGGGTGTTCAAAATTAGAGATTACAGAAGGATAGCCTTAGTAGCTTTGTAATAAATAGAAAATACAAATATTGACAAAACAAATAAAGAGTAAAAAAATACTGTCGTAATACAGTTTTGCTTGTCTTAAATTGTAATGAAATGACGTTAATTGTACATAGAATATATACTTTTATGTACATTCATGATGTTAGAAAACACATAGGTTCAAGAAGTCTTGATGGTAATGAATAAATACCCTATAACCCGAGTGCTTTCGATTCCCAGTTTGCCCCTGAAGAAGAGAGGTCCATCTTTCGAACGCGATCGGGTTATAGGATTTTTATTCATTACTTTCATGTACATTTATACGTATATGTAGATGTAGACAAGTGTATTGAAATAAAAAACAAACGAAATTTATTACTTTTAACAGGTAGCTTTATTTATATGTTATAACTAGTCCAGGTAAAAAAAAAAAAGGAATAATGATGCAACATTAAAAACTAATAAGCTATAAGGATGTTTATGTATTTCAGTATATTTGGCAGGTATTGATTCTGTTAACTTTGGAGCCGGTCTATGCACACCCTCCTCTGTACAACTCTGCGTTTCATGGCACTGACAGCTCCTACGGAAGACCAAGGGAATCAGCATCTGCCAACCTAACGCCCAATACTCGCTATTCTTTGGAGTCCGCACGTGGTTACGACAGCTCAAGTTTTGTATTTCCCGATGATTTAGTATTATTGCCACCTGTTGATAACTCTGGGATTCCTCTTTGTGCACGAATGACTAACAGTACGTTTTGTGAAAATGTAGAAGATTATCCATAGTAGGTATTTAGTCGTTTAGTGATACGGTTATTCATTAATAATATCTTTAGATATATTTTAGAATTTCAGACAAGATTCATAAACGGCAATAGCTCATCCAAATAAAAAAAACTCTTTAAACTGTGTCCATTTAGTTAATCATAGTATAGTTGTGTTAGTTATAATAATAAAAAAAAAGTTAGGCTATATTACATTGCCCCATATTCTTTAAATAAGTAACCATGTATTTATCTCAGATTATTATTTTATTACCTGAAAACATGATTTGCTTAGGAAATTATGATTAATATCATAAATATAGTTTGAATGACAAGGCTCAATAAGATTGGACAATAATGATTTATACGTTGTATATCAGAAGAAGGGGACATCTACTTAATTATATTGTTTCTATGAAACTGAGATATGCATAACAGGAATACATTGAAAACAAATATATTTTAATAAACTGTAAATTCTTCGAAAGATTTCAAATGACACTAGGTGTAAAAAGTCTGTGATTATATAATTTCTTTACATGTTTTCCTTTTTATCTATACACGCTCTGCAAGTTTCAGTCATTATTTCTGAAAAACATCAAGGACAAAACATTTTTTATATACATTGTAGGTGGAATATTGCCGTGTTCAGATTGTTCTGATGTTAAATAACAATGCAAGGTTATCTATAACTGTTTAATCTGTGTCGCTAGGGTTTCCATAACTATAGTACACAAGGATAGGGTGAAAAACACACACCTTGATTTACTGAGAAACGTAATGCTTGATATCATATTATCGAAAGAGCATGATAATTGTGTGTATTCTTTTTAATTGGTGAGAAAAAAAGAAAATGTAATTTTATTGATTTAACCTGTCTTAGAATATGTGTGTTAAAATTACACATAAAAAATATGAAACAAACTTGGTACGTTTCTATATAATTTAACCTGTCTTAGAATATGTATGTCTAAACATATGTTAAAAGTACATATAAAAATATGAAACAAACTTGCTACCTTTCTATATAATTTAACCTGTCTTAGAATTTGTGTGTCTAAACATAAGTTAAAAGTACATATATAAAATGAAGCAAACTTGCTACCTTTCTCTGTAATTTAACCTGTCTTAGAATATGTATGTCTAAACATACGTTAAAAGTACATATAAAAATATGAAACAAACTTGCTACCTTTCTATATAACTTAACCTGTCTTAGAATATGTGTGTCTAAACATAAGTTAAAAGTACATATATAAAATGAAGCAAACTTGCTACCTGGGAAACTGTATTAAGTTATTATTATATCTCAATGCAAAGAAAGAAAGAAACAACAACAAAATGTCAAAACACGGAGCTAAATAAGTTTCTATACATTTTTGCTAACTTTATTTATGTACATCAGTTTGCATGCTATAGCTAGTGCAAGGAAGAATTTCGAAACATGAACCTAATCGTACAGGTGGCATTTATTTTTAAATGCCATTCGGATGGCAGTCTTGTCGTGGTAGTTAGTCTAATTCATAAGACTAAGAATATCGCAATTCAAAATATATCTACCGCAACTAATATACCTGCTTGTTTATTGTTTATTTTTTGGTATCCTGCTCGTGCTTATCGTTAGTTGACCCGACATCATAAAATGGTGTTTATGAAGTGTCTAGCCAAAAGATACGTGGTTCTAAGAAATTTGGAGTAAAGGCAAAGGAGAATACGATAAAGTATATTAACCAAACTACATCTACTATATTCCGTGCTGATGAGGTTTTTTACCCAATACAGGGGCTCATCAGGCTGATTGATATTAGACAGACATGGCAGTGGCCAAAGTAAGTATACAATTATATCTTTACTTATTCATAAACCATACATCAGCTACTCTGGGATTTATTCAAACTGGTGGCCATCGCAGCTGACACACTTCTTTAAACTGTTCTTGACACTTCTGTGCACTTTTCTACACAGTTCCTCATCTTCAATAATCTCATTGAATAAAATTACTGCTGTATACCTACTTTTGTCATACCCTGTATATCGTCAATTCTCATTAACAACAATTGTTATGGTGTGAACAAGATGTGAATTATTGTTATGGTATAGTGGCCACTTTCCGGATAATTTCGTCCTTGAGTTCTGGAATTGTGCGAGGCTTCCTACGGTACACATATGTCTTCAGGCACCTAACAACCAGAATTCGCTGGTGTTAGTTCTGTAAGACGTAGTTCACCTGGTTACCAGTATGCGCAGGGTCACCGTCCTTCATGAAAACTGTGGTGTATATTATATTCCGTTGTTGCAGCATGTGAAGTACATTATTTGTATGCATTGCAAGGTTTCGTGCATCATCGTCTGTGTAGGTTTGCAACCTGTATGCTGACGATGCTTCAAAAAAGAAATGGTTTAATAAAATACTCAGTTGTGAAATTACACCACACTGTCACCTTAGCATCGTGGATATATATGTGTGTGTGAAGGAAATGTTACGCGTGGATTAGATAAAGCATTTGTACGTGTTGAGACTTCCAGAAAGGATGCGTTATTCATCAGTCCATAATATATTGACAGATCATTATTCATCGATTTTCAGTCTTGTCAAAGAACTGTAATGCAAAATCAACATTTCGGGTTAAATCCGTTTCCTTCAGTGTTTCAACATGATTCAGCGTGTAAGGAAATGTGCACAAAGTTAACCGAAGAGTCTCACCAACAGCTGAAATTGGCAAATCAAGACACCGGGCGACATAACTTGTGCTGAGCTGTTCTGTCATGCGTTTCTGACTTCAGAAATAATTTCAGTAAATGTCGGTGTCGACTGAGCTCTTATTCCTTGCGTTTAGGCGGGAAAATTAGAGCAGTTTGTTTTATTTCTTGCCTATTCAAACCTGATCCTTTTGGGTTTAACTGAGTTCTCCTACGAAATGTAATTTTTAATTAGTTTAGCTAATCTTTCAAAACAACTTTGATACCAGACAGGCAGAAGAACGGTTCTTCTGGCTATAACCTTTCTGTTGTCTTATAGTAAAATTCGTGTAAGTTCGTTTCGGGATGCTGAATTTTACGAATATAAGATAATATCAAATTAAGTACTAGCAAAGGTGTCAAAATTAGACAAAATATATAGGAGTTGCGACATTTCGTCAATTTGGATTCTCATTGAATTTAGTATTTTTTGTTAACAATCGAGCTTTAGCTTCTTGTAAATGATAACAAGGACTGTCACCGGTATCTGGTGGCTCTAGTGAGGTATTTCATGTTGTGGAAGAGAAGGTTTTACACGAGTGTTCGTGAATTAAAACATTAGTAATAACTGACCAAGTTGACCGACCCGCGTGAGATATTATTGGGATTACGGCCGAAAATATGGATAATGACGAGGGTACCCAAATGACGAATTAATGCATTCTAATCATTATAGACTTATAACATTAAAAATTATGGATCGATACACTCAAGGGGCACAGCGCAGATAGTCTGTTGTGTAGCTTTGCGCTTAAAAACAAATAAACGTTAACTTTTGTTTTATGATCACACTCTCAGTTAGACCAATAAATGTAATTAGGTACATTATTTGCTAAGGTAATTTTTAGTTCTGACCTACGTCGTTCACTTTCTTTGATCAAACGTGTTTCAAAAATCACTTTTCTCATCAGACGACCGTGATCAGGAAATCGATGGACATAATGATATGAAAGTTAATAATGGTTGGAGACGGCTTGAATGGGTAATGAAGAAAAAATATATATATATATATATATAACTATATATACTATACGTATATAGTTATTATTATTACTTATTACTTACTACTACTACTACTCTACTACTACTACTACTACTACG